CTGTAAAAACTAGACCAGGAGCTGACTGTGGCTCAGATCATGAGCTTCTGTTTGCAAAATTTAGGCTTAAATTGAAGAAAGTAGGGAAAAGCACTAGGCCACTCAGGTATGACCTAAATCATATTCCTGATGAATATACAGTAGAGGTGACAAATAGATTTAAGGAATTAGATCTGATAGACAGAGTGCCTGAAGAACTATGGACGGAGGTTCGCAACACTGTACAAGAGGCAGCAACTAAAATGGCTTTGCCATGGGGTGCCATGGGGTACCACAGGGCTCCATCTTGTCTCCCACACCCCGGCGCCAGGAGCTGCAGCCTGTGATGGGGCCCTTCGCTGCGCCTGCCTTGCTCCTTGATTCGTCCAGGAGGAGCAGAGGAGGCAAGGCAGGCGGACAGTGAGAGGCGAGTCCTGCAGCCGAGTCCGAGCAGAAGGCCCTGAGCGAAGCACAGGCAGCGGGATCTCGGAGGCTCGCCCCACAGGCTGGCAGGCTGGCATCTCCCTGGGCACAGGGACTGCCTTGCCCCGCACTGCTCCCCACCTGGCAAAGCGGCCGGCCCAGGTCGGCCGCCCGGACGGGATGCGCCTCCTCGTGAGGGCCTCAGCCCAGGCGGAGTAAGGTCTCAGGCTCCCGTGGCCAGCGGGAGCTGAGGGGGCAGAGGAGCCGGGCCGCCGGAGAGCTGGTCCCATGCGGCAGGGCGGTGGGGGAGCGGGCGAGGGCGAGGGCCGGCCGGCCGGCACGGGGCTCCTTGCAGCCACGGGGGGCGGAAGGACGAAGGGGCTCCCAAAGGGGCCGGCAGCATCAGTGTTGCATATGCTGCGTTTGTGGATTCTTCCCCCTTTCCTTCCTCTTCCCTTGAGGCTTTTCCAATGGTTTCCCTTCCCCTACTGTCTGAACCCTCAGCGGACACGCACTCTCCATTGTAATCAAAAACGTTCTCCTCACCCCAGTTCAGTCCTGAGGTGGGAGCCGCTTCCTTGGAAAAAGGAAGTTTGGACTTGTTAATGTCACATAGCTCCTACCTGACCGGTCGATTCCAGAAGGTGGCCTTGGGGGACTTATGTTGATATTATTGTTTTCCATGGTTCACATAAGCACTTCTGGAATTACTTAAAAAACCAACGTAATAGATACATAAATTCAATATTTATGGATTTCATCCCCTTTTCACTCATCTGCCATTACACACCTAGTTTCCCACTGCCCCTTATTTTGCAGAGGTCAATTTCTTTTATTGGATGTTCTGAAGCAGTGCCCGGCCAAGGTGATGGGCTGGATGTGGGCCAATGAACTGAGACTCAATCCAGGCAAGATGGAGGTCCTGTTGGTGGGCAGTTTGGGTTTCAGGTAAGTGATTTTGATCCTGTCCTGGATGGGGCAGCGCTCCCTCTAAGGGACAGGGTCCGCAGCTTGGGGGTGCTCCTTGACCCAGAGCTGACCCTGGAGAGTCAGGTGTCCGCTGTGGTGAGGAGCGCTTTCCTCCAGCTTCGGCGGATCCATCAGCTGGATACCTGGATAAACACTGCCTGGCAACAGTGATTCATGCTCTGTAACCTCCTGGCTGGATTATTGTAACACGCTCTATATGGAGCTGCCCTTGAAAACGGTCCGGATGCTTCAATTGGTACAAAACAGAGCTGCCAGGCTGCCGGCGGGGACCAGCCGTTATTCTTATAAAACGCCAGTCCTCTACCAGCTTCACTGGCTCCCCATTGAAGTCCAGGCCCAATTCAAGGTGCTGATATTAACCTATAAAGCCCTGAACGGCTTGGGACTGGGATACCTGAAGGACCGCCTTCTTCCCTATGTGCCCTCATGCCCCTTAAGATCACCTGGAGAGGCCTTCCTTCAGGAACCTTCCTTGAAGGAGGTCCAGAGGGTGGCTATCTGGAGGAGGGCCTTCTCCGTGGTGGCACTCAGCCTAAACTGTACTTATAACACCTATTCCTGTGCCCCAAGTGTAAGACCTTGCACTTGTCCAGATTGAACGCCATCCTGTTGTCTCCTGCCCACTTCCATCGTCTGTCCAGATCCTTCTGGATCCGGAGTACCTGCTCCTCAGTTGTGGCCACTGTCCCCGTTTTAGTATTGTCTGCGAATCTGATCAGCAGACTGGTCACCCCTTCTTCCATGTCACTGATGAAAAGAGTGAACAGGATCGGCCCCAGGACAGAGCCCTGGTGGACCCTGCTTGTCACTGGCCGCCATCCCAATGATTCCCCACTAATGGTTACCCTCTGCTTTCGGTCAGTCAACCATGCCCTAATCCATAGAGAAAATGTGCTTTCTGATGCAGTTTGGACAATATGAACATAGTTTCACACGCAGTTTCCTTATACGCCCTCATGCCCCCTAAGATCTGCAGGAGAAGCCCTGCTCCAGGGACCCTCCCCGAAGGAGGTAAAAAGGCCATCAACTCAGAGCAGGGCCTTCTCTGCTGTCGCACCCAAACTCTGGAATGCGCTCCCCAGAGAGGTATGCCTGGCACTGAGCTTATACTCATTTCAGCATCAGGTCAGGACCTTTTTATTCAACCATCATATTAATTATTAAGGCTTTTTATTCTTTATTCTGTTTTCTCTTCCTTTTTTTTCTTTCTTTAGTTATGAAAGTGGTTATGCTGGTTTACTATTTATTGTTTTAATTATTGTATCATTGTATTTTACATGCTATTTGTTTATTTATTTATTTATTTACTTACTTACTTATTTTTGGATTTAAAAGGGCTCAAGGCAGCTTACATCTCCTCCTCCATCTTCTCCCCACAACAACAACCCTGTGAGGTAGGTTGGACTGGCCCAAAGTCACCCAGTTGGCCCTATGGCTGAGCGGGGACTCGAACCCGGATCGCCTGAGTCCCAGTCCCATGCTCTGAACCACTACACCACACTGGCTCTCATTAATCTCTGTAAGCCATCCTGAGCTGTTCATCAGAAAGGATGGGATAGAAATGTTTAAATTAAATTAAAACAAAACCATCCTAAAGAAAAAGAAATGCAAGAAAGCAAAACGACTGTCTGAGGAAGCTTTCCAAATAGCTGAGGAAAGAAGGGGAGCGAAAGGCAAGGGAGAAAGAGAAAGATACAAACAATTGAATGCAGAATTCTAGAGAACAGGTAGAAGAGATAATAAGGCCTTCTTAAATGAACAGTGAGAAATAGAAGAAAACAATAGAAAAGGGAGGACCAGAGATCTCTTCAAGAAAATTGGAGAAATGAAGGGAACATTTCATGCAAAGATGGGCATGAAAAAGGACCAAAATGGCAGGCACCTCACAGAGGCAGAAGAGATTAAGAAGAGGTGGCAAGATTACACAGAAGAACTAACAAGAAAGAGCTTAACGTCCCTGATAACCACGATGGGGTGGGCACTGACCTCGAGTCAGACATCCTGGAACATGGGTCCTTAAATTCGGTCCGTGGGCCGAATCCGCCCTGCCATGCCCATTTATCCAGCCCACCTCAGAGGTGTTGGACTCACTTGGAGAAAACAATCTCTGAGCAAGTCCAAAAGCTCTGAGCCAGCGCAGGCGTTCTCTGAAACTGAGCAGAGAACCAGCGCATGCCCAAACTGCAACAGCTCCACCATGCTTGCGCCAGATCCCCCCCCCCCCGCACGCACATACAGAGCGGAAATACAATGCAGGAAAAAGAAGAGAGGTGGGCAGAAGAGAGAGAGAGAGACGAAGACAAAGAAAGGATTGAAGGTAACAAAAATATAGCTTTTAAAATCTATTTTAAAGTATACGAGCCCAGAGGCAGCCAGGCCGGGGGGTGGCCAGGCCTGTGCCAGCTGCCACTGCCTCGCTGCGACTGCCACAGCCACCTCCTTGCCAGGCCTCCGCCCACCACCACCGCCTGGCGGTATTCCAGCTGAGCTGTTCAAAATCCTAAAAGAGGATGCAGTTAAAGTGCTACACTCAATATGCCAGCAAATTTGGAAAACTCAACAGTGGCCACAGGATTGGAAACCGTCAGTTTACATTCTCATCCCAAAGAAGGGCCATGGCAAAGAATATTCAAACTACCGCACCATTGCACTCATTCCACATGCTAGCAAAGTGATGCTCAAAATCCGACAAGCTAGGCTCCAGCGGTATGTGGACCAAGAACTACCAGAAGTACAGGCAGGGTTTCAAAGAGGCAGAGGAGCTAGAGATCAAATTGCCAACATACGCTGGATCATGGCGAAAGCCAGGGAGTTCCAGAAAAACATCTACTTCTGCTTCATTGACTTTGCTAACGCCTTTGATTGTGTGGATCACAACAAATTGTGGCAAGTTCTTAAAGAGATGGGAGTACCAGACCATCTTATTTGTCTCTTGAGAAACCTATATGCGGGTCAAGAAGCAACAGTGAGAACTGGATACAGAACCACTGATTGGTTCAAAATCGGGAAAGGAGTTCGGCAAGGCTGTATACTGTCGCCCTGCCTTTTTAACTTACATGCAGGGCACATCATGAGAAAGGCGGGGCTGGATGAATCACCAGTTGGAATTAAGATTGCCAGGAGAAATATCCACAACCTCAGATATGCAGCTGATACCACTCTCATGGCAGAAAGTGAAGAGGAACTGAAGAGCCTCTTGATGTGGGTGAAAGAGGAGAGTGCAAAAGTTGGTTTTACATTCAACATCAAGAAAACTAAGATCTTGGCATCCGGTCCTCTCACTTCCTGGCAGAGAGATGGGAAAGAAATGGAGGAAGTGACAGATTTTATTTTCCTGGGCTCCAAGATCACTGCAGAGGGGGACTGCAGCCAAGAAATTAAAAGACGCTTGCTCCTTGGGAGAAAAGCTATGGCAAATCTAGAGAGCATACTAAAAATCAGAGACATCACCCTGCCAACAAGAGTGCGTACAGTCAAGGCGATGGTTTTCCCAGTTGCAATGTATAGCTGTGAGGGCTGGACCATAAGGAAGGCTGAGCGCTGAAGGATTGAGGTCTTTGAATTGTGGTGCTGGAGGAGACTCTGCGAGTCCCTTGGACCACAAGGCGATCAAACCGGTCAGTCCTGGAGGAGATCAACCCTGACTGCTCTTTAGAAGGCCAGGTCCTGAAGATGAAACTCAAATACTTTGGCCACCTAATGAGAAGAGCCTGATGCTGGGAACAACTGAGGACAAAAGAAGGGGACAGCAGAGGATGAGGGGGCTGGATGGGGACACTGGGGTGATGGGTGTGGGGTTGGGTGGACTCCAGGGGATGGTGGAGGAAGGGAAGGCCTGGAGGAATGTTGTCCATGGGGTCGCGATGGGTTGGGCGTGACTTTGCACCCAACATAACTAAATCAATTGATTAGAGTATCTGAGCAATATATCCAATCTCTAAAATGGGAATTATCAGCTCTAGCCCATAGGGTGGGTAGTAGTATAAAGGCTTAAGATTCAGCTAAGGATGAATGAATAAATAAATGTAAATACAGTATTTCATTCTTTTAGTTTTTATGATTTGCAATTTATTCATTTGCTTATTTATTTGGTGAATTTCTAATCCAACCAATAAGCTTCCCTAATTTCATTCTTTTTTAATCTGTTTGTAATCTGCACAAGGAATGCAAACTGTTGAGTGGATTTAAAACTTAAGAAGCCAACGCATTATAGTTTACGCTCACATAAAATTGGATTGCATTCTTTCAGTTAACAAATTCTTACAGTACCAGTGTTGCATCTTGCATTTCTAGCTGTTTCATGCAACGTTAGGGTTTATTTACTTATTTAAAGCTTTTGTATCTCGCCCTTCACAGTGACTCAGGGCGTCGATAAAATAAATGAGATACAGCATCGAGATAATAATAAATGCAATCCATTTTAAAGACAGTCTTAACATTTAAAACAAGAGGAACATAAAAAGAGGTTGGCCTGCCGCCGAAATGACAAAAAGCCTCGGCGCATGGGGCACCTGAGTTCTGTTTGCAATCTGCCAAAAGATCCAACAGCAGCCAAAATATATTTTTTAAAATGTGCAATAGCACAGCCTGCTTGATTCCCATCCGCTTCGTGATTCAGCCGCGCCGGCTCCCTCGGCCAGGGTCCCCTAGCCCTGCCGGGCCACAGTTCAGGGCGCCGCAGCGCCGGCCCAGCACCCGCGACCCGAGCCCCTCCAGATGTGCTGGGCCAGCCCCACCCCGGGAACGCATCTGCAGGGGCCCAGCCTTGGGGACACGTGTCCCGGCAGGCCCCGCGCCGAGGCAAGCCTGCCCGCGGCCTTCTGGGAGCTGCAGTCCGGCGCCCCGCCGGCCGCCTCCCTCCCGACGCACCTGTGGGCATGGTGGGCCAGGCCCAAGAACCACGAAGCCCGGTCGAGGCGCAGCCGGAGCTGCCGCTGCGGGTCGCCGCCGTCCGCCGCGGCCTCGTCCGCCTCGGCGCTGCTCTGCGCCAGCTTCTCGAAGTAGCCGGCCAGGAAGGCGATCGGCTCCTCCGGCCGGGCCTCGAGCACCTTCATCAGGGCCTCGCGCACCATGTCGGTCACGCCGGCCTGCCGCAGGAACTCTGCCTCGGCCTCGGGGCCGCCGGCGGCCGGGGCGGCCGGGGCGGCGGGCGCCAGGGCCAGCCGCCGCTTCTCGCTGGCCGCCATTTTGCTCGAGGGCGCTCCCCGCCCGCCGCCATCTTGGCTTTGGGCCCGTCGACCTCCAGTTCCGCTCAGTGGCCAGCCAATCAGAGATCGCTTTGCTGGGGTGTCACCTGAGCCCACATCGGCCATTTTCGTTGTGGTTATCATCATAGAGTTGTTCAGGATACATGTAGTGGGACGATACCCTCAAAAGACAAGAGCACCGAAAGAGGTCAGATAGTAAGGCCATGTTCTTATGTGCATTTCTGGTCAAAAATGAGAGTGTCAGCTTCCCTTTCAAAAGTTTCAAAGTGCTTGTACCAGAGAGAGGAAAGTGCCTAGAACGATGCTCCTGTTTGCCCATAGAGATCGCAGAAACATCTTGGTGGTATGATCGGAAGTAGTTTCCCATTTCCTCGCTAGTCCTCCAGGAATCGTGGGTGCCCCTCCCCATCTCGGGCTGTGGAGGAAATCTCGCGGGATTGAGCAGCAGGGGGTCGTTCTTCGGCGGCCATCTTAACTGCGGTCAACTTGCCCTTCTCCTATTTAAAGATCCATGCGGTCTTCTCCCGTAAATATTTTTCCATCTCTCGGGTTTGCATTTGCGGGTCGGCCTCTCCTGGGACTTCTTGGGCTTTTTCTTTGCATTCATTGAAGTGAGTGAGATTTGCAAAGCTGGGGCTGCTAATGGGAGAAACCCACTTTTGGGAAGAGATGGCGAACTCAGAAGACATGGGGACAGGGGGGACTAATCAAAGTCGTTTCGTATCTTACCCAGAGTATTTTGACCCCCTTCCTCAGCGAAAAATGGCCCTGATGGCCTTTGCTGCTGTCATGTAGCCAGTACAAGACTGACTGTGGTTTGTACAATCTTTTTAATAAAAGGCATGACACACAAGGAAGAAGGGAGGGGGAGGGAAGAGGAAAAAGCAGAACAACGGCTAAGGGTACCATCCCACCAGTCACAACTTTATTGCTCATAAACCCTGGAACTTGGAAGTCTGTGCACATCCAGGGCAGAGCTGCCTTTCCTGCTCCAGTGTGAGCTACTCAGCTCTTCTCAGCCGCCTTGATGAGATACTTCCAAGCAGGATACCGAGCGAGGGGTTGGAACTGCCCTTCCTCACATTTTAGGGATCCTGCTCAGGCATGCAATGAAGTGCTTCCGCAAATCCCACTAAAAACTTTCTTGCTCTGGTGTTTTGTTTCCTCTAGGCAATCCATGGACACTGGACTGAGCCCTCCCAGGTCTTGCGCCCGTGGGAAGAGGAAGAAGGTAGCCCAGGCATCAAAGCAGAAGCGTCCCAAAGTCTGCAGCACCGACCCGGCCCTCCACCACTGTGACATCCGTGGGAAGGGCTTCAAGCGCCTGTCGCGCTTCCGGGAGCACCTGCGGATCCACACGGGCGAGCGGCCCCACCAGTACAAGCGGTGTGCCAAGACCTTTGCCCGCTGTGCCGATTTCACCAAGCACTGCCTGGTGCGCTTGGCCCCGCACCCCCACCACTGCGGGGCATGCAGGAAGCGCTTCGAGCTGGCAAGCTCGGCCGAGGCGCCCTTCACCTGCCACCTCTGCCCCCGGAGCTTCCAGCGGCCAACCTGCCTGGTCATGCACCTGCGGGTCCACGCACAGGAGGAGCCCTTCGCCTGCGCCCCTGCCCTTGCGCTTCAGGTGGGAGGCCTCGGCCACGGAGCACGAGGGCCCCCACCGCTGCAACCGATGCCCCAAGGCCCTCACGCCCCGCTCCTCCTCCGTGCAGCACCGGCGCCTTTGGCTGCCCGCGCCTGCCCGCTGCCCTCCAACCACAGGTCCAGCCTCCGCAGGCCCCCATGGGCTCTGCACCCAGCGGGCTCGAGCGAGCGACGCGCCGGACGCACCCAGCAGGCCTCCGCGGGGTCCCCGGCCTCACCGTGAGCCCCCTTTTCCTGGGGGCTCCCTCCCTCCAGGACGTGCGGTGGCTGCTGCAGTGTGTGGTCTGCGCTTGGGGCCAGGCTGTCGGGCCCCACCTTGGGGAAGGCGGCAAGTTTACTGGAGATCCGGTGAGCACCAAAAGCACTGCAGGTGGGAACATGTTCTCCGGGGCCGGAAGAAGCACGCGAGTTAACCCAGCGCATTTCAGAAGGTGTTGCCCTTCCGAAGGGGTCTCACCTCTCCCGGTGCTCTTGGAACGAGATTTCAATGCTTCCTCCATTACGAACTGTGTTAATGCCTCCTTACCCACCTCCGGGCCTGGTGTCAGATACTCAGAAGGGAAGTTTCGGGAGCTCAGGGATTTTGCTCTGAGGGTCACCTGGATAGCACTCACCGCCCTCGAACACCGCCCCCTTCCCTGCTTTCTTCCCCACCAGCTCTGGCCCACCGCAGTCAGAGTCTGCATGGGGAAGGGAGTATTTTGCTGTTGAAGTTAAGCTCTTGGGAGCCAGGAGGGCTTTCTCTTGCAAGCCACGGAGAACCCCGCCAGTAAAACCGGGCTCTCTCTTGTCCTCCGTTGCTATTCCGTACACGTCCCAAGAGCTTTACAGGGAAGTAAGTTCTCCCATGTGCATCCCGCAGAAAGGGCAGGTTTGAGCCCATGACCAACTGAGAGCACCAAAGGGCTGTTCGGTGAATGTGTGTGAATAAGATGGCCGGAGGCCGCCCAGGGGAGAAATGTAGTATCCTTAAGGGGCCACATTGGGAAGGCCGCTCCAGCTTGATGGACTGGCCTCATGGTTTGGAGAGGGTGGGCTGAGCCCCTTTATCTGAGGATGGAACTGAGCCTGTTGCTTTGAGTACGACAGAATGAGAGTGTGAGAATAATCAGGCAACTTTTCAGAAGATCAAAGAAGAAACCTGTTACAGATGGGCTGTGTTGTCACACAACTGGGATTGTTTACCTGTTGGCCAATTTAAAAAAAAAAACATGTTTCTTCCTTGCTTGCCACTGGTTGGATACTGTGATGCCACAGCATGTTTACAAACATTTGGACCCACAAATTAAGGTCTTTGCTTGCGGAGTTTTCCCCATTCTTCCGAGTGTAGTGGGGCTATTTCATTGTTAGGCCCAAGAACTAGAAGGGGCTGGGCATGAGGGGTGGGGGGTGGGGGAAGAAAACAGTCCATTTATCTATTTAGCTGGGGAGTCCCTCGTTCAAATACCTTTCCCGTCACCTAACACCTGATCCTTTTGATCGGAGAAGCCAGGGATCAATGAGGGGGCTGGTGTTCTGCCGGGACAGCAAGGGCTCTCCCCACTCAGCCTGGACCCCTCCCCAGGCAAACAGAGCGCCCCTTCCCCATGAAGGCTCAGCCCCTCAAAAGGTCCTGATCGCACAAAACAGAGCGCACGCACAGGAAACGGTCAAGGTTTAATTGTGCCTATTGCAGGTTCTACACAAACACATGCACACACAAGCGGACCTTAACTTAGACATATGCGCAGCCTGTTTGGAACCGACCCTGCAGCTCGGCCCAGCGCCGGTCTGGTCTGCGCGAAGCCGAACCGTCGACTGGCCGTTGGGAGCAAAGTTTCGCCCAGCCCGGGCCTCCTGCCCGAGCCTCCGGCATGTTTTCCGTTCCACCACACCATGACGCTTCCTCGTTCTGCCAGTTCCACAGGAGTCCCACACAGGGCTCCCCGAGTCCCATGAGAGTTTCTCCCCATCTTTCCACGTGGCCAAAGCTGTCTTTTTTTCCCAGAATGCAAACCTTGGAGAGGGGCCAGTGGACGGGGACAGGCAGGACGTGGAGGGGACATGTCCTTCTGGCAGCCGACACCACGGGCCCCCCGCAAAGCACAGGGAAGGGCTCCGGGGCCGCCCCTGCAGGGACCCTCAGTACTGGAAGGCCCAGCCCCACAAGGATGCATTTGGTTTGCCCCCACACAGCGCAACATCGGAGCAAGAGGCTGTGCCAGGGCCGAAGCTTTTAGCGTCCTCGCCACTTCCTCAGGCGGTAGGAGACGTAGCCGGCGACGACGAGCCCCAGGAAAGTGCCAGCAGTCCCGAGGGTGATGATGGAGTCCAACCTGTACCTAGCTGCGGGGGACACACAAAAGGAGTGTGGTCAGTCGTTGTGCAAAGCAAAAGTGAGAGGCTTGAATCTCGGCCATTTCTGTTTCTTTGGATGGTAAGCTATTTCCCACTTAAGAGGGGCTGGGGGATCATCCCCCCTTCCCTTAAGACCCTTGCCAAAATGTTTTCAGGCTGGGAGGCTTGTGGTAGGGAAAAGCCCCGTATTTTTAGACTTTCCCTTCATGAGGACCAGGCACTTGCCCAGTCGGCACAAGTGCAGGATCAGTCTTGAACTATCTGTGGTGCTGAACTGTGGTGTGGTGCTGAGTGGCCCAGCAGCTTCTACGGAGCTCGATCAAAGCTGCCGGGAAGAGGGATCCCTTGTGGTCTGGGGCTCAGTAGCCCCTCGGGCACGGCAAAGTCGACAACCTCTTCCAGTTGCTGGGGGGGAGGGTGAAGCCCCCCCCCCCAGTTTTTGAATATCGCCAATTTGGGTGCGAGAAGAGCTGCTGGCTGGCGTCTTCTTGCGAACTCCACCTTGCTTTTTACCTTCTGCCTGCAGGCACACGGCAGGTTTGGGTACGGATTGGACCCCAGTCATGGAATACATGAGCAGGAGTATTTCCCCCTCTGTTGGGGGTGAGAACTTCCCTCCCACCCTGAGTCTGCTCCTTCCGGATTCCTCCAGCTCAGCCAGCCCAGTAGGCATGTCATGAGCGGAGCTGGCTGGAGCCGGGGTCAGACTAGATGGCCCAGGAGGCCCCTTCTGCCTCGCTCTGTGTCTGTGTTTCACAAGGTGGACCGGCCCACTCACCACGGGACACCACGACTTTCAGGGTCGCCATCTGGGGATCCCTGGCCACTGTGACGCAGCGGTACACCCCCTGGTGCTCCACGCTGGCACGCTTGACCACCAGGGCTGACCAGCCGGTGTCTTCCTCCAGCCTGTACTGGGTCTGGGCCAGCGGCATCTCGACCCAGCGGATCTTGACGTGGGCGCTGCACCCTTTCGTGAAGCAGGTGATCCGGAAGGACTCCCCCACCTTCCCCTGGCGGGGAGTGAGGATGATCTCGGGCTGGCAGGGGCGCATGGTGTCGAGGGTTTGGTCCCCTGGAGGAGGACATTGCGAAGAAACTGCGGGCTTGGCCGAGGTCTGCACCGTGGGGGGCAAAGTCGAGGTGGGCCGTGGAGAGGTCGCCTGCTCCTCTGAGGTTGGTTTCTCGGCTGGAGGAGAGGTTCTGGAGGAGCCGTCGGTGCCCATCGGAGCCTCGGTGGTGGTGGCAGCCCCGGTGGGCAGAAGTGGGGAGGGGCCGTCGGTGCTTGCTGCAAATGAGCCAGTCTGGCTGCTGGTGGGTGGAGGTGGCGAGGTGGCTGGGCGGCTCGATCCCACCCTCTCGAAGGTGCCGGCGTCCGTCGCTGCAAATGGAGCATCATTGCAACTTTAGGAAATGTGCACTGTGACCCCTTCAAGCTTTCAGTGCTGGGTTGAGCAGCGTAAGCTCTTATTGCTAAATTGAGCGACTCGGATTGAGTGATTCCTCGGAAACCAGCAAAGCCGTGAGTTAATCTGAGGCTGCTGAGATTCTGCTCACCAAAGCGGGGCTGAAAGGGAATCGTTCGCTTTCTTGCTAAGGAAAGGCAATGAGATGGGTTGGCCGAACGGCACGTTATTCTCTGGGCTCTTCCACTTTGGGAGTGAGGAGGAGAAAGGGCAGGAGACGGTCAGCAGGGCTGTTTGCCTGCCTGCTGAAGCATCCCGCAGAACACAAAAGCTTGCACTGTGCTTTGTGGCTTGCGGCAGACCAACAACGGCCTTCTGAGGCTGTGGGTCCCAGATATTTTCTGCTAATTTGTCAGCTGTCGCAGAATTTGCACACATCCATCAGAAGCCCAGATATCCGTGCCTAAGAGAACGTGCGTGTCTTTGCTCATGTCACCCTCTCTCTTGCCTCCGCATTCGGCCTGGGGAGTGGTGCGGGGTGTGCTCTGCCCCAGAGTTCCCTGCAGGACATTGCACCGAGCCCTGACCGGCAGCTTTGCCTACCTTACAGGGTTGTTGTGAGGAACCAAGCTGCCGAGAGCACATCGCCACGTGCCCGTCCTGCGCCTGCACTTCAGGGACAGGAGGACCCAGCTCTGCTTGTGCACCTACCCGGCGTGTGTGCTGAGATGGCTGCCTCTCGCTCAAGCCTCCGTTCGCCGAGCTGCAGAGTCACGCTGCATTTGTAGTCCTCGCCTGCCGTGACTTCTGGGACCTCCAGGATGGACTGAATCACGAACAGCTGCTCTTCCTCCTCCTCGAACTGCATTGAGGAATCCAGAGGCTCTGCTCCCCGGAACCACTGCAGTGTGACGTCGTCCACCGGGTACACGCGGCTCATGGAGCAGTTGAGGTGGGCCGGCTGCCCGGCTACAGCCCTCCTTGGCTCGGAGTCCAGGCGCAGGGTGTCTGGGAACGCTGAGGAAGGAGGCACAGACGGTGAAAGCTGTGGCTGCGCAGCCAAGCGAGCCCAGGCTCCCCGAGCAGCTCGTTCCTTTTTGCCCCCATTGCCTGGATTGTCTTCTCTGCCCACAACCCCTGTGCCACGCCCTCCCTGCGCCCACAACAAGACCATCTGCCCCTGTGGCTGAACTTTTCCAACAGACCCGAGCGCACAGGAGTGCCTAGAAGGAATGGAGCTGTCTCCAGGCCCTGAAAGCGCTTCGCTTCTGCTTTTTGGGGATAGGGGTGATCTGGGGGTCCTGGAATCTGGCTCCTGGGTTTCAGGTGCGACCAGGAATTTGGGGTGCCTTGCATGCACGGCGGGTGGGGAGGGGCTCTGTGGCTTGGCATTGTGGGATGCACGCTGGAAAGAAAGGGAGGGAGGAAACACGGGAATGACTTCAAGGAAGAAAGGGGGCCAGGAGAGCAAGGAAGGAAA